AATCCTACTTCGCGGAATTTCATTTATCACGGTAGGGTCTAGAACCGATTAACCGCGATAAACGAGGGTTCACTGTACACTGGAACAGATAGGAATTGGAAACACAGGGCATCCAGGACAGATGATCCCTTCAGGACTAGTGCTGAGAGTGGTGATACCGGGAAGGTGGAGGAAAGGTGGGGGAGAAAGAGGGGACCGATTACAAGGATCTACATATAACCCCCTCCATGGGTGACAGACAACAGAAAAGTGAGTGAAGGGAGACGTCGGCAAGTATACGACATGACAAAATAATAATAATTTATAAATTATCAAGGGTTCATGAGGGAGGGGTCTGGGGAGGGAGGGGAAAAATGAGGAGCTGATACCAAGGGCTCAATAAGAACGCAAATGTTTTGAGAATGAGGATGGCAACAAATGTACAAATATGCTTGACAAATGGATGTATATATGGATTGGGCTAAGAGTTGTACGAGCCCCCAATAAAATGATTAAAATGAAACCTAAGGTAGGTAGATCTATAGAGATATTAACTTGATATGGGCATGGCAGGAGAGGATGAAGGGGGGGGTGGGGAGCTAACAATGAATATCACAAGAAAATGTTCTGAAACTGATTGTACATATCTTCTTAATATTATTGAAGAATTAAATTGTATAATATGTGGAGTATATGGCAATAAAACTCGTTTTTAAAAAAAGAAAAAACTTAAAATCCCACCAGGTACCAGCTGGCTAACTCTGGAGCAGCAGAACGGGTAGCGAGGGGACAAACAGGTCTACAGAAGCAGAAGCGAGACCGCAGGCGTGGATGGTGCACCAACCTTCACATACTCAACCGCTCGTGGAGAAAAATCGCAGGCATAGGCAAATATATTCAGATCGTCTTCTAAAAGTGGGAATAAACAGTTCCCAACCCCACAGCCAGCTTCAAGCATTGTCAACTTTTGCTCTGCAAACTGGGGAAGAGAACTCAGTTAGAACACAATACCACCTGCAGGGTGAGGAAAGCAAACCAAACTAGCAGGGCTAGGACATGAGTGGACAAAAAATGAGTGGCCTAGTAACCAAAGGTTGCTCCTGGAAGCTCACTTGTCCTCTAACGACTCAAACACAGGACAGTTTGGGGTGGAGCAAACACTGTTATTGCACAATGGCCAACAGAACACATTCTGGGGCTAACGTGCTGGCAGTGAAATCCCAGCTTCTCCATTTGCCAGCCCCATCCTTGGGAAATCATTGAAACAGCATGGTGTCTCAATTTCACCTGCAAATGGGCATAGTCATACCTACTTCACTGATATTATTATAGGGTTTAAATTAGAGAACACATGTAGAGTTCTTAGAAAAGGGCATGATCAAGTGTTCATTAACACCAACTATTATTATTCTTAATTTGCCACTAAAGCCAACTCAGTGTGGACACAATGCTTCTAATTTTAAGGAAATAAGAAACGCTCATTAAAGTTCCCACTCCTGTGAATTAAACATCCCAGAAACTGTTGAAACAACTTGAGATCAAACAGTATACTTCTCTCCCTGGGTTCAAGGCATTTTAATAGGCTTCGCCTCCCACACAGGAATGAAACACAGCATCCCTCTCCATCCACTCTAAATGGAGAACGGATCAGATAAGGTTGCACGGTTGGCTTACATCCCGGCACGATCTTAGCTCCTCAAACTCTCTGGTGGTCCAGTGCCTGTCTTTGAAGAAATTCGTACTATTTCTTTTGTAAAACAGGTCCCAGTTCTTCTGGGCTTCTTGTTCTAGTTTTTGTTGTTTAAAGTCAGACACCAAGGCTTGGTCTCTTTGCAGCTTCTCCTCTTCCTCGGAGCTGAGAATCCTTGCCTGCAGCCTTGTCCTTGGCAAAGATGCCATTTCTGAGGTTGACAGTCACGCACTTAGCACTGCAGGGGCGTCTCCACCTCTTCACGCCAACACTGCGGACACAACACCTTTTCGCATCTCTCCCCACAGACGGCTCCAGCTCGGGCAGGATGGGGTGCTTCTGTAAGGAGGGTGGGGGGAGAGGAGATTCTGGTGAAGAGTCCTGTAAAATGTCAGGTACCATCACCAAACACAACATTCTGTCTGCTATAGGTGAGGTCACAAAGAAGTATTTGCAAGGCATTATCTCGCCCAGCCTGGTCTATCTACTGTCAGCTCCTCAGAATTCAGCAGAAGAGATTAGATTTAGGATATGCTTACACTGGGATGGCCTAATGAACAGAAAGAAGACCCTATTCCAAAATGGACGTTCACAGGCAAAAACCTCACTGCCATCGAGTCAATTCTGACCCACAGTGACCCTGGAGGACCGGGTAGAACTCCCCCTGTGGGTTTCCAAGACCGTCAATCCTACGGGAGCAACTGGTGCTTTCGAATGGCTGACTGCGGTTAGCAGCCCAACGGTTAGCAGCCCAACGTATAACCACTGCACCACCAGGGCAACGAGCCCACTGCCAGCGACCCTAGAGCAGCAGTTCTCAATCTGTGAGTCTCGATCCCTTTGGGGGTCGAACGACCCTTTCACAGGGGCCACCTGATTCATAACAGTAGCAAAATGACAGTGATGAAGTAGCAACGAAAATAATTTTATGGTGGGGGGGGTCACCACAACATGAGGAACTGTATTAAAGGGTCACGGCATTAGGAAGGTTGAGAACTACTGCCTTAGAGGATAGGAGCAGCTGATGGGGCTACCAGTGTGGGCCAATCTAGTGCTCAGCGGGCCACTGTGCCACCAGGACGCTCCCATGGGCACAGGAGTTAGGATTGCAACACACATTTTGGGAGGGATGAGATTCCATTCAAAACAAAGACACAGACAACCTTTAACTTCAGGGAGCTTACATTCAGTGGCTAGGGCTGTCTCATGCCCTAACCGCCTTATCCAAAGCAGAATGCGTCAACTATTAGGGCAAATCTTTATAGTTTATTAAAAGGAACTCCTTCTCCCCTCTAAATGACTGAGGAACCTTGGGAGGAAAAATGCTTATTAATTTTCACTGTCCGCAAAGGCCGTGATTTAAAAAAACAATCCTAAGAGCAAACGTTGCACGAACTGGAGGCGAATGCTCAAAGGTGGCCCGAAGGGTGGTCCTAGCTTCCCAGAGGCTCGGTTTTGCTAGGTGTTTGATCGGAGTCCCTGCACACACTCAAGGGGTGGCAGTCTACGGGGTGGGGGCGTCGCTTCCCAGTGAGCGCCGTGATGGGGGACCTCAGTGTGCCTCTAATGATTTCTCCTGCGAATGAGTCACATTCTCACTCGGCGACCCTACAGAACGGGGGGAGAACTGTCCCGGGGAGTTCCCGAGACGGGAGCTCTTTCTGGGAGTAGAAAGCCCTGTCTTTCTCCCAAGGGCGCCTGGTGGTTTCAAACGGCTGACCACAAGGTCCAACGCATGGCCACTACGCCACCAGGGCTCCGCCTCTGCAGCTACTCCCTCCGTATAAACTAGGCCCCCGCGGGCCCACCCCGGCTGTCCGAGCGGGGACCTACCTTTCTCCGTTCCGGGCTTCGCCCATGAGCGCAGGCCCAGCCGCGGAGGCAGCGCCGCAGAGCAGCCGCCAGAACCCGGAGCTTGGCCCCGGCTGGCGGATTCCCGGAACGGGATCCCGTCGCCATGGCACCGCCCCCACGGCTTCCGCCTCGGACCCAGAAGTCCCCCCGCGACGCCGGAAGTCCCTCGGCCTTACTTCCGCAGAGCCGGCCCCCTCCCCGACGCGGAGCGAGCGCCTTGGTTCCGGCCCCGGGCGGGCGGCGGCAGGGTTCTCCGAGAGCCGCGGAGCGCTGTCGCGGGCGCACTGCGCCCCCGGACGCGGGCGCCGGAAGCTCGGGCGGCGACTGCTCCCGCCGAGCGCCGGGCTGCGCGCGAGGCCCGCGCGGGGCCATGAACGGCACCGTGAACCCGCTGCTGGACCGCGAGGAGCACTGCCTGCGGCTCGGGGAGAGCTTCGAGAAGCGGCCGCGGGCCTCTTTCCACACCATTCGCTGTAAGTCCGCTGTCCCCGGCCGGCCGCCACCTAACTCGTTTCTCGGGCTCCCCAAGTCCAAGGGCCCCACCCCGCCTTCTCTCGTTCCCCGGAGCCCGCCGGGACTTCGGCTTTTTCCTTCTCTCCAAGTCAAACCCTTCCTTGCTTCCAACTTCTTTTGCCTCCAAACCCCAAACTCCTTCTGAACGCCTTTGACCTTTTTAAAAAAATTTTAAAATCATTTCTTCTCTCCACCCAGCTCTTAAGCCATCCCCCACCACCCTCGGTCCGTTGCGTAAAGGATGTGACCCCACTTAGGATCCCCACCACCACCAGAGTTCTCCCGCCCCCGCCGCTCCTTTAAGACCCCCCCCCTCCCCCATCCACACCCCGCATCCTCTAAGCCCCCAACTCTTCCTTCAGCCTTTGCTCCTCGCCATCTCGGTTCTGGCCCCCCTGACCGCCTGCCTTTCGCCCCCTCGCCTCCCCGCGCCCCGGGGGCGCCCGCCTCTTTCGTCAGCTGTGTGCCCCGTTCGACTCGGTGGGTGCAATCGGAATCTGGGATCCTGGCATCAAACGAAAGCTTGGTCTGTGTTTGGAAGCGACAGAGAGCCCCGGGCGTCAGGAAGGCCCCACGAGTGGTCACGCTGGACCCTTTCCCTGCGTGATTATAGACTCTGTAGAGGGAGTAGACGTCCACGCCACGTCCTGGCAAAGATTGGTGAAGAAATCGGCTGACTGAGCGTCCCCTGGTGATTCACCAGCAGCTCCCTGCTTCCGGTCTTGGAGATGCTAACGCTGGTTACGACTTGTTTTTGTCAGAGGAGCGAAGGCACGGGCGAGGGCGTGTTCCATAAAGAAGTTCCTCCTGAGCGTGGTCACTTGCCGGCCATCACTTGGCTTCCTGACCGCACGTGCGGCGCTTTCAGAGACGAGAGGAGGCTGTGAAGCGAACACCCTCCCCTGACCAGTTAACTAGGTTGATGTTTGCATGGGGTGGGGCCATGTGGGATTTAATTAAGAAGACTGGCTTATGCACGTGGCCTGAAGATGTTTCAGCAGGTGTGGGTTAAAAATGGAGGAAGATTTTTCATGTTGTCCTTAGAATTGCAATACCATCAATTCCAAAATGTTGGGCGGGCAGGCTAACGTTTGAGAGAGAGAGGTCAACGAGATCTCTGAACATCTTCAGCAGTACTCTTTGTCCAAACTCTGAAACTTGAGTATGGCGAATCCTAATTTTCACAGTCAAATGAAATCGGTTTGGGCAGTGCTGTGGCCTTTCAGAGGCCTTGGTAGCGCAGTGTAATATACATAGGGTAACTAACTTCAAGGTCAACAGTTCAAAAGCACCAGCCGCTCTAAGAGAGAAAAAGGAGACTTTCGACTGCAGTAAAGAGTTAGTCTTGGAAATCCATACGGCAGTCCCACTTGTCCTGTAGGTTTGATGGGAGTTGGACTCAGCAGTGAGTTTTGTTTCTGTGTGTGTGTGTCTGTCCATCTGCCCTCTCATACTTTGTATTGTGCTTTTGTTGCTTTGGAAACAAAGACCTTAGTAGGACTACTGCGGCAACATTAATTTCCATCTATCACTTAGGAGAACAAAGTATCTTAAATAAGATGTCATGTAAATTTTAGCTTCCCCCTCCCAACAATCCAGAAGGGCTGGGATAAAGATTGTGTGGGTGTGTCTGTGGGAAAATATTGTCCCTGAATTGGTCATTGCTAAATCTTGTGTGATTGTCCGTAGGGGCTCACTGTTGCAATCTGCATGTGTCAAGTTTGTACCTGCCGTTAGCTGAGTAGAAATAGAACGCCTTAAATCAGAGTGTACTGGAAGCCCTGGGCATAAGTAACTTAGTAGGTAAATGCATTTTCCTTTCCCTTTAGATGATTTTAAGCCAGCATCCATAGACACTTCCTGTGAAGGAGAGCTCCAGGTTGGCAAAGGAGATGAAGTCACAATTACATTGCCACACATCCCTGTAAGTTTACTGCTTTGTTGTTTTACTAGAGGATCATCGTGAACCCTTGTATTTTGTTACTGTAATTAAGGTTTTCAACTCTGAGAACATTTGAGATTTCTAAAGTGCCAATGTAAGAGGAAAGGAGTTTGGGGGTTGGGGGGATGAGATTCAAGCTTCCAGATGCTGGGTTATAAATGGTTCTTCGGCACCTTGCTCCTCCTCCCACAGTCTGCTGCCAAGTAGCCAAGGTCCCTCTCTGGATATCTAATCTTCCTTCTACACAGAAATCGCTTCCTTCCAAGCCGCTCTGAAGAGAAGCCCACTGTCGTTGCTGCTGAGAGGGAGCAATAGCCCTCCAGGTGGACAGGGTGCTTATGCTGGGGGTCAGGGCCAGCATAGTCTCAGTTATGCACCTGGGGGTCCGCTGACCCTAGAGATAAAGAGCCCACTTAAAAGGTGGGTGGAGAATCCTCACAGAGAAAGCCCTTTGTGAAACCCTGCCTGAAGGGTGAGGCAGAACACTTAATGAGCATGCAGCTTGGTGGGCTGCCCTGGGATATAGGGTACTGACAGGCAGAGATAGGATGAGAAGGAAAGGCTCTGCACCTGAGACCTGGAATGCTTTCTGCTGGTGAGTAATTCCTCGCCTGGCAATTCAGGTTCTTTGCTCACTGCCTGGGGCAGATGACATCACCCACCCTTTGGCCCTTAGGTTCCCAAGTGTAAAATGGAAAGGCTGTAGAAATGGTCCCCAAGGTCCCATCCAACTTTAAATTGTTTATGGTCTGAATCAGGAGTTACGCTGATCTTGATGATAAGCAAAGGAGTATTGTCTGTATTCCCTTTTAAACAAAGACAGGACACCTGCCGGGCACTCTGAGGTGCTGAGAATTGAACTGCAAACAGACGTGTTTCTGTGTTTCTCACCCTATGGATGAAAGTTTAAATAAATCCGAGGGGGGGGAAAGCACTTTGTTGTAAACAGTTGAGGAAGACATCCCTAAGGAAGTGACTTTTGAGTAGATCTGAAGGCTGAGAATTTACAGGGAGGAAAGGCAGGAAGATGGGGGCCAGCTCTCTTAAACTCTGGAGTCCGAAAAACCAAGGGGTGAGCCTGACGGAGGATAGCTGGGGAAGGGCCAGGAGGCTGCTGTGAGGTTTTGGGTTTGGAACCTTCAGCAGAGATCAGCAAATTGCTTGAGAGCCATAAGCAGCTCTTTGAATACGTACATGTGGCTCAGAATAAAATGGAAAAGATTTAAAGGACATTATTCAGATCATGGTGATTTTGTGGGTTTATAAGAATCTATTTGTGGCTCTCGAAGTTACTAAATTGTTGTGAAGGACAGGACTGGCTCTTCTCAAAGTGTGTTGACCCCTGGCCCTGAGCAATGGAGGGTTAGACCGGGGAGTGACGGGACACCTGCACTCTTTGTTAGCCATCCGTGCCCTCTGGGCTGTAAGGGAAGCCTTGGGCTGCTAACTGCAAGGCTGTGGTTCACATCCATCAGCCACTCTGGGAGAAAGACGGGGCTATCTACTCCGGTAAAGATCTGCAACCTCGGAAACCTATATAAGAGTTGGAATCAGCTTGATGGCGGTGGGTTTGGTTTGGGGTTTACTCTTCTATGCAGGTAGATTGGGATGATAGCTCCTTGGCTCGCTGACTGAATGCGATCCATTGATAGATAGGCCAATTCCAAAGAAAAATGATCCTACAGAAAATGGAAAATCATCCAGCAATATTGTTAATATCACACGCAAGTAAAATGTTGGTGGGGGAGCGAGGGCAGAGCATCACTCATAGTGATCCTGTATGACGGAGTACAACTGCCCCTGAGGGTTTTCAAGCTGTAAAACTTTACAGGAGTAGATAGCCTTCTTTCTCCCTCAGAGCAACAGGTTACAGCTGCTGACTTGGCTGTTAACAGCCCAACATGTGATCTACTCCACTACCAGGGCTTCTTGAAACAATGCTGATGATAATTCAAAAAACAATGGCAGCAGTACATGGACCGGAAACTGCCAGGAATTCAAGCTGGATTCAGAAGAGGACATAGAACAAGGCATATCGTTGTTGATAATCAGATGGATCTGGGCAGCAAGCAAAGAATACAAAAACATGTTTACCTGTGTTTCATTGACGATGCAGAGGCACCCGGCTGTGTGGATCATAGCAAGTGGCTAGCCTTGTGCGAAATGAGAATTCCAGAACGCCCAGGTGTGAGCATGCAGAAACCTGTACGCAGACCAAGAGGCAGTTCAACAGAATGGGCATATGCATGGTTTTCAACCAGGAAAACGGCGTCAGGCGTGTGTTCTTTAACTCTCCTATTCAAAGTGTGTGCTAAGCAACTCTGAGAAGCTAGGATGTTTGGAGAAGGATGCAGCGTCAGTGTTGGAAGAAAGCATAATTAACAAGATGCAGATGACATAATTTTGCTTCCAGAAAATGGAGAGGGTGTAAGCATTTACTGGTGAAAATCAAAAGGCTACAACATTCAGTGTAGATTATACCTCAACATAGCAAAAACCATCACAACTGGACCAGTAAGCGCCGTCAGTGATAGATGGAGAAAAGTTTAAAGTTGTCGGCGCTTTCATTTTACACAGACCATAATCAACGCCTGTAGCGGCAGCAGTCAGGAAATCATGACATACTGTATTTGGCAAACCTCCTGCAAAAAAGTCTTGGGGGTGGGGGAGGGGATGTAAAAAAAGGGGAAAAAACGTCTTGAACAGAGACATCACTCTGGAAACTTCAAGTGCACCCAACCCAAGCAGTGGTATTTTCAGTCAGCTCATGTGCTTGTGGAAGCTGGACAATGAATAATGGACAATGAGTAAGGGAGACTAATTGATGCTTTTGAAGTACAGTGATGGTGAAGAATGTTGAAGATACCATGTGTGTTAGACAGGGTTCTCTAGAGAGAGAAAACCAAATTGCTCATATTTATTTATAAAGATAATTAGATATATAACACAAGAAATGAACTGTTAAATTATATACAGATAGATATATAATACAAGAAATGAACAGTTATAAAGCAGTACAAATGGCTCAGTGCAACTCACTCCCGTGAGAGAGAGTTGTGAGACACTAGCAGTCCTTCAAGTCTAGTCTGCTGCCAGATCTTCCCCTATTTATAGAGAGAGTTAGGCTATGTCAGCACAGCAGCCAATCAGAAGGCAAGTCACCAACTGCCAGCCAGGTCACCAACTGCCAGTCCCCAGCTCCAGAGATATCTTAAAGGGACCTCAACTTACAGCGACACAGTTCACAGGCTAGGCGTCCCACAGGTAGTGTAGCCTGTAAATTGAGGCACAGAACAAGCAAGGCAGCCGCACACTGGTCCGATGATCAAAGAGCGAGAGACAAGAAAGGCGAGGCTCACCGAGCCATTGATCTCTCCACCCTTCAGTTAATCCCACTTGTGTTTATCGGCTAGGCTGGCACAGTAAACTATCTCACCGTGGACTTCTGGAAGAAAAAATAAACCTGCCTTAGAAGAAGTACTGCTAGAAATCGCCTTAGAAATGAGTCTGGTAGGATTTTGTCTCACGTACTTGGGACACATTATCAGGAGGTGTGGAGAACACTGTGTGCTAAAGTAGAAGGTCGGTGAAAAAGAGGAAGACTCTGGGAGACGGATTGACATAGTGGCTATAATAATAAGCTCAAACGGGGCAGGTATGAGCTTGGCGAGGACCAGGCAATCAGTGTTTTATTCTGTTGTACACAGGGTCACTGTGAGTTGAAACTGACTCAGTAGCACCCAGCAAAAATCACTCAGAGTCATGGCTTGTCCTTGGAGAATGTGGTTTTGGTTACTTGGCATGAGCGAGAAACACTGCACTACAGATTACAAGGGCATACAAACTGGCTTTTAAAGCTTTCTGGACAAAAGTCTCATCTCTCAATTCTGTGTTCTATGAATGTTTTGTAACCCCTTCACATAGTGACAACCTACTCAGGTGTACCCCAAACATGGCTAATTTATTTTTCTTAGTTCACGCTTTTCCAGTAGGTGTAGCATTTTCCCAATCAATAGAAAAATGGTAATTCAAAACATTCACATGACCTTCCTTGCTTTGAGAGAACCGGTTGCACGAGCATGGATTCTTGCCCTGTTACAATTTCTCCTAACCAGAAGGAGTTGAGCTAGAACCGTGTTTGTTGTGGATGTTTTGAGGAGCTCTGATGAAGGGTGTATTGCGGTAGAGGCGTCTGTAACTCAGCTGTGCTCTCTCTAGCTGGCATGCGTTATGTACCTTTTGGTTGATCACCTCCTTTTGTGGTAAACAGGGATCCACACCACCAATGACTGTGTTCAAGGGGAACAAGCGGCCTTACCAGAAAGACTGTGTGCTCATTATTAACCACGACACGGGGGAGTATGTGCTGGAGAAGCTCAGTAGCAGCATTCAGGTCAAGAAAACGAGGTATGTGAATAACTGCACATGTGTCTATAGCTCTGTTAGAAGAATGTGATGATCTACTTCGCATGTTCAATCACCATTGCATCTATGTAATCTAAGATGAGTCAGTAAGATGTATCTTTTCTTCAAATGCAAGAAAAAACAAATACTGTTTTTCAAGACCTAGAACTTGAAAACTTAACTATTGGGGAAATGGAAAGTACTTTATAATTAAACCAGTCATCGTTGTTCGTGAACTTACCACCTAAGGGGTAAGATTTCAAGAATCATTGAAGGATATGAACCTTATTTGGTGCAATTACACTTAGCTATGAACTGAAAAGTTGGCGGTTTGAACCCACCCGGCCACCCTGAGCGAAAGGGCCGGCCATCCGCTCCAAGATTAAAACACCTGAGACCGAGCCTGCTGCCGCCAGATGCCTCCAATTCATGACGGCCTCGATTGTGTGTGAAAGAGCAGAACTAACTGCTCCTGAGGACTTTCATCCCAGCTCTACAGAAGTAGACCGCCAGCCCTTTCTCCCTCGGGGCGTGGTTTAAACCGTAGACCTTTAGGTTGTTAATCCATTGTGAACTGCCTTTTCTGCCAGGAACCTTTACTATGACACAGCCCTGCAGCCCCCCATGAAATGCAGCTCTGATCTGACACACTGGTTTGAATATGTGGGCTTACAAGGATAGAATAGTCATTGAAGGGTACATTCCTAGGGTGAAAGCATGAGCTTTTAACAAGATATGTTTGAGATCACTGTGATCCCCAAACAAAGCTTTTCCTATTTTCTTGAATAGTGAACTCAATCCAACAGGCAGTTTGTCTGGTTTGAAGCCAGTTAGATTTTGTTAGACAGTCAGAATTCAGCCTGTAATTAGAAGGAATCAGCTGGTTCTAAAGTAATGAAGTTTGAAGCCTTATTTTTTTCAGTCTATGTTCAAAGCGAGGCAGTCCTAGAGGTGCTGGGGGATACGTGTTGGGCTGTTACCAGCAGGGTGGCGGTTCAAACCCCTCAGGAGAATGAAGGCTGGCTGCTGCCGTGCAGATCTGTAGGCTCAAAACCTGTCTGTATAGGGTTTGAGTTAGGAGTCAGGACCCAGTCAGTGGCGGTGGGCGTGGTTCTTGGTTTTGGGTTTTCCCACATTTACTCATTGAACAAAAAATTAAAGTAGCCTCCATGACTTGAGCAGTTAAGTGCCCGGTGCTGTGCCCCTCGGCTTAATTCTACAAGTTGCTTTTAGGAAGGTGCTGTTATTCCCCACTCCCTTTTTTTAAAGCCATTTCCAAGCACCTTTTATTATAACATGATGTACCTTCTAACTTTGTGTTCAAATGGTGTGCTAAATTGAATATAAAACAAATATAAATGCAATCACTTAGACATAATTGATTGATACTTTATGAGGAATTAATGAAATGCACATTCATTTTTAATTTTTAAACTCAGGTTTTAACATGTCTTAAAGAGTAAAAACTCACTACCATCTAGTTGGTGCCGACTCACAGTGACCCTACAAGACGGGGTAGAGTTGCCCCTGCGAGTTCCCGGAGCGGTAACTCTTTATAGGAGTAGAAAGTCCCGTCTTAACTACTTAAGGGAGCTGGTGGTTTCAAACAGCAGACCTTGCAGATTGCAGCCCAGTGCATAACCACTGTGCCACCAGAGCGCCTCCGTTGAAAGAGGAGATTGACTCCATGGCAGTTAGTTTGGTTTAGGGGCACCCTGTGTCCTGTTGGGTTGCTGTCTGTTTGTAGTTGTTGTTAATCTATGCTCATTTTTAAAGTAAACACCGAAAACAAAATATTTGCCCCTTTTAACATTGTGGGGGGTGTACTTCAGTCATCTTAGGTACGACTGAGGGTGAACAGTCCTCTCAAAGGATGGCTGGGATTAACGCAGTTCAGGTGGTGGTGATGGGGCCTGCACCAGGTAACCGGGCCTGTCAGTAGAGCCCTGGCCTCTCCCTGCTGCTCAGACAGTCCCAGCCTGTGAGGAGTCTGGGGCCCTGTTAGTCCTTCACCTTCTGATCATGTGGTCGGTTCTCTTACTCCTTCGTGGTCTGGTACTAGCAATGCCCCTTCCCCACCTCACCTGGCAGCCTGTGACAGTGCAGACCTGCCACTTCAGACCTGTGTGTTCATCTCACACACACATTTGAGAAGTGTGGGACTAATCCATCTGCAAAAGTAAATTTTCAGGGATAGAATTTTCTGAATTTGGAACAGACTGCTTGTCTGCCTGCATGAGCTGGTGCATGACAGAAAAACAAGTGATAAGTAATGGGGCAGTTTGAAAGCGAGCCTGTGATCAGGAGGTGGTTGTGTTTGGGTGCTGTTAGTAAAATGGCTTCTCGTCATCCACTGCACCCTGTAGGCCTGTCTGAGCTTCACTGTAAAATGTCAGCTCCACAGGGAAGCAAAGTGTTTTCGTCTGTGGAATCCCTGGGGGATGACATCCTGCGTTCAGTGAGTGCTTTGTGGAGTTCTCGTGAGCAGATGGTAAATTGCACATCTGTAGAGCACAGGGTTCCACAGAGACTGCCAGCTCCTCTGCTGCCAGACATTGGAAAACCCGCCGGGGTTTTCAGTCTTCCAACTTAATCTCTGTTCCCTGGTTTCAGAGCTGAGGGGAGCAGTAAAATTCAGGCCCGAATGGAGCAGCAGCTCACCCGGGCCCCACCACTGCCACCACCCCCGCCGCCACCACCCCCACCACCACCTATGCCGTTCAGAGCTCCCATGAAGCCGCCAGCTGGGCCCAAGACTTCTCCCTTGAAGGATAACCCCTCACCTGAGCCTCAGCTGGATGACATCAAAAGAGGTAGAGTGTTTGCAAGCTTTTATGAAACAAATCAAATCCAAAACAGGCGTGGGTTGGCAATGAATAGCATGCCGTGGAGTTATTAAGGATGTGTGCATAGACCAGCACCTTCGGTGAGTATCACGAGGTTTTTCGGCTTCCCAGTGCATATAAGAGTTACGGTCCCACCATCGTCCATACTATAGTGTGCAGCAGCGTCATGAGAAAGCTTGGAATAGGAGACTTATCCTTTGTGGCACAGACACAGAATAAGCACAGGCTCCTGGGACAGTGGCACTCGATGCCAGCTCCACCCGCGCTTGCCGCGCATTTCTGTGCGTGCAAAAGCAGCAGTGCCCAGTGAAGCCCAATGAGCCAGGGCTCCGGGCAAGACCTCACCTGCCTGTGGAGCCGCACACTCAGCAGGGGCAGTTGTGTCCTGGGAGGAGCGCTGAGCCTGCATCCGGCCTCCCCACCCCCATGGCTCCTCCTGCAAGGGCCTTGGAATCCGTCAGTTGGCACTGAGCTTTTCCTGTGGGCTGAGGGGCTGTGGGGAAATCTACTGGTTTCCATCCCACCTATCACTGCTTATTAGAGGTGGGTTCAAAATAGGCACTAGGACCTTCTAGCTCCTAATGGAATACTGTTTTCAATATTTGACCATCGTTATTCTCTTACTTGATATTTAATCTCATAATTTGGGATTGTGCAAAGGGACTGGGGACAGGGATCCTTGTTTTTTAAATAGATAGAGGGGTCAAACAGCCTACATTGGGTTTCAGAGGCAGTATATCTTTATGGGAGCAGACAGCCTCATTTTTCTCTCTTGGAGTGGCTGATGGGTTTGACCTGCTGATCTTGCCATTAGCAGCTTGATGCTTAACAGGACTGTGAGGGCTCCTTACAATAAGGGAAAATAAGCTGACTTCTACAGAACTGTCAGTGTCTTGAGCGGGCCGCTTTGTGGTTCTTTTGAGGGAAGGTCGTGCTCTCCATACTTCTCTGGGGAGAAGTGGCGTTTTCTTTCGTTGGTTTGGCGTTTGTGTGTGTGTCCTTTTAAGGGTGGGAGGGTCCGTTTTCCTTCTTGCTGTGGAGCTGCCGGTATTCTGTTCACCGAAGGTTGGGGGTGCCTTCCTCCGAGCGGCAGCTGAGCTGACGTGTGTCTTCTCCTCCCCCCCAAGAGTTGAGGGCCGAGGTGGACATCATTGAGCAGATGAGCAGCAGTGGCAGCAGCTCCTCGGACTCGGAGAGCTCCTCGGGCAGCGACGAGGACAGCTCCAGTAGCGGCGGGGAGGAGCGTGGCCCGGCGTCCCCCGCTCAGCCTTCACACCAGCAGCCCTACAGCAGCAGGCCCGCCATGGCCAACGGGACCAGCCGGCCCCAGGGAAGCAACCAGCTCATGAACACCCTCAGTACGTGGCCGCTCCCTAACCACAGTGCTCCTTTCTTAGGGTGCAGCCCATAAGCCTGCAGGGAGATGAGGTATAAGGAGGGTCTTGACAAAAAGGAGCTGGCGCAGAAGGCTGAGAAGGAAGCAAGCACACACTGGGGGTCCATTCTTTGTCTTCTCCACTCACCCACTCACCGAGTTGGGTTTTATGACTTCTGCAAAATGCTGAGACATGTGGCAAAGGCTCTTTGATGCTACATTTACCAGCCGGCTCTGGGGGTAGGCACTACCAGCCTTTATAGACCAGCTCCTAGAACGGGAGTCTCCAGAGAGCCCACAGCCATGGGAGCTTGTGCCCTCAGGCTTTGTTTGGAGACTGAGCAGCGCTGGTGAGGGGGAAGCCTGATGATACCGTGCTGGCTGACGAGCCTTTCAAACAGAAGAGCAGTGAAAAAGCCAATGTCTCTGGGAGGGGTTGGCTTCCCTGGGGTACCATACTTTCGGGAAGATGGGCGGTGATGGTGGGGAAGCTGACTCAGGTGGGCTGAGGCCCCGAGCCTTGCCTACACGGGGCAGGACATTTCTTTCTTGTCCTGTGCATTGTCAGGTGCTTACAGTTATGCCTGGCCTATGCCCACCCAAAATGAGTCATCCTCCTCCCATGTGTTTCAACCCAAAATGTCTCCAGAAGTGGCAAGGTGTCCTGAGGGGTCAGAGTCACCCTACTGAGAGACCACCACTCCAGGCTCTGTTCTCCCACCTGGTCCCAGAGTCCAGTAGCATTGTCCTGCTCTGCTGTTGGCTGGGGACCCACACTGAGCTTCGCACCGGGAGTTGGGTGTTTGCAGGGAGGAAAGCCAACAGTCTCTGGTGGCTTGAACTCAGTTCTTGGAGACAGAGTTGGAAGGGAAGGATGCAAGGGACCTCTGGGGCAGTCAGGGCTCAATTAACACCTTTGCTGAGGATGGAGGGGTGGGGGTTGGATGGGGGTGGGACAGACCAAGAGGTGCAGTAAGGGTGATCTGACAGGCCTTAGCTACCCCAGGGGTTGCACCTGGAGTCACTGAAACTCACACTGGAAGTCTATACGTTTGCTAAGCCCTCGGGTGAAGGAAAGAGTGAAGATGGTGTGGGTTCTTTTCCTGGACGGGGGCACCTGGATCAGAAGCGGATCCCCCTCAAAACAAATGGATCCATTTGAATCTGGATCCAATCCAAAGGGATTTTTCACCTGGGCTTTGGACTGGTTCCAGACTGGGTCAGAGTCTCCCATTTTAACCAGCTCCCCAGGTGCTTTGGGGATGTGCATTGGGATTGTGCCCCCTCGGGACTGGTTCTGGAACCACCCCGCTGTGACCACTACCTGAAGAGGAGGTGGGAAGCCTATGCCTCGGGTTTTACTGTTTGTTTTTTTCTTTTGTAGGAAATGACTTGCAGTTGAGTGAATCTGGCAGTGACAGCGATGACTAAGAGCCATGCCTTTCGGGATCTACTTTGTGGTGCACAAACATGCTACAGGACGGGGCTGCTTTCGCTTGGAGGCTGCTGCCCCGAGGCAGCCGCTGTGGGCGGTGACTGAGGCCGGAGTGTGGGGTCCTATGGCTTGCAGACACTCAAGTCCTGAACTTAGAGGTGGCGGGTGATTTCCTCATGTACCCTGTGGGTAAGCTCGTGTTTCGGAGTTTAACTAGATCTATAGAAGAACTAGAAGTTCTATTTCCAACCAGTGAACCTTGGTCATGAACCACACAGACAACTCTGCAGTGGTCTCGGTTACTCAACCCGGGACCCGCCACACCAGCCACTCGGTTCCCAGCCTCACCAGCCACCATTGGGTCTCCCCAGTGAAGTGAAATACAGCCTTGGGTGTGGGGGCAGGGAGGGAGGGAGGGAAGCTCAAGTGGCAACATACAAATATGTTAAAACCACTTTGGTGACACCGACAATCCTGTGTAGGGCTGGATTGAGAGGAGAGGTCAGCTGGGCAGAGCCCAGAAACCTGCTGGGGCCCTCACATGTGGGAGAGCTGGGCTCTTATGACTCTTCTGCCCCCAGTCCTGGCCTTTCCCCCGGCTCCCCTGGAGTTTCACTTGCTGGCACCCGAGGTTCGTCTACATTTGGAATTTTTTTTCTGATTTCCGAAAGGCAAAAGGGTTGGATCTTTCCAGCTTGAACTTAGATTGAGACAGTCCCTGCAGGTGTTAGCTGAGCGAGCCAGTTGCTGGTTTGTGTGGCCTGGCTGACTTGGGGCTGCCTTTCTGGATAGGTCTTTTCTCAGGGTCCCTCCTCCAGTGGGCTTGAGGGAGCGCAGCCAGAGGGAGCGTAAGCAAGGTGTAGGGAAGAAGCCTGTGAGCGGATGGACCAGCAGCCGGTTTCCCAAAATGAGACTCTAGGTGGGAGTTCTGCGAAGGAAGCGAGCACACTCCCTGACCAGGTGGTGTTTCTGGTGGTGCCTCTGTGCCCCTGTGCCCTGACCCCAAGACAGGTGGTGGGTGTTTGGACAACTTGAACACAGTCACAGGCTTGCCTTTTGCTGCGTGTAGTTTTAGGCTGAGTGTGGTTGCTAGTAAACCTTTCATGTTGGATGACTGTGTGCTAAATCATTAGTAGAGAGTGTCCCAGATCAGTAGTCTGAACGGCTGCGTCCTGAGAAATTTCTGTCCACTTTGGTTCAGTGGACTTCGAGACATTAAAACAGATTCTCCTTCCTGCGCCCCTCCCTCCCCACCTGTGGAGAGGGAAGCCAGTGGCCTGCGACAGGGACTTTGTTGGACTTACACCTTACAGCGTCCACTCTGTTTCATTCACGTGGTGACTGGTCCCAGGGGCTGGACCCATGGGTGAGGCCCAGGGACCCATTGTCCAGCTCCCCACTCACTGCTAGTGGAGGTCAGTGGCCCCTCTCTGGGGTGTTAGAGTTCATAGGCTGTAGGAAGTTACTTATAAAGAATTGGTCATTGATTCTTAATTCCTTGGTAATGAGGAGCCCTCAGGGAAGTGGCAAGGAGACTTGAATTGTTACGGGTGGGGGAATTGCTTCGCTGTGCATAACTTGCTCAAGCTGGGGCAGGTTCTGGGAACTTGAACTAAAAATAATCTTATTTAAGCTTCCCTCTCTGTTTTTTCCTTTTCTCCCCCAAACCCCTGATGGAGTAGACAGAACTGTGGACTTGGGGCTGTGGGGTCATGATGGCTTGTGGAGGACACGCTGGCCTGGGCCCAGGACCCCCCTGCTATGTTCTCCCCGCCCCAGCCCTGGCCCTGCACGGCTCCCTCCACAGCTGCAGGGCTCCCTGCACACAGCACTCACAGTTCCTTCTGCACCCACCACGGAAGGGATCTCTTTGAGTTCAAGAACTGGGCTTTGCAAGCTGCTTTTCATGAGGACCCTTGGGCCAGCCACACTGGCCTCCTTGTTCTTGCCGCCCTGGGCTACCCACCTTTCGGGCTATATCAGCCTGCGGGAACCCCTGCTTGGTGCTCCCCTTCTCTGCCCCCAGACTCCGTAGGTGCTGTTCTCACGGCTTCTTCCATTTCCCTCACCCACGTCGAGTGCCTGGGTGCACATCCTCTTGCTTGAATGAATGCCTGAAACGCAGGCTGTCTTTCTCAGCTCGACCAGAACTAGAGAGAGTGCTGGAGTGGACATCAGGTGCCTGTGGCCTGGGGGAGAGGTGGGGCCAGCACACACTCCCTCGCGGTGGCACAAAGCACAGGCAGAGAGCTGAGAGAGACCAGACCCTGCATTTGGAGACAGCTGAAATGGATCCTAGCTAAAGATAGACCCTGAATCTCGTGAATTAGTAAAATTGTATAACACCTCTTCCCACCTTTTCCCCCTTTGTGTTGTCTGCCATTCTGTGGGCTGTGGAGACTTACGTCTGGTTTGCCCAGGGCCATGGTAAGCCACAGACGGAGAAACGTACTACAAACTACCGAGATCTGTAGCAGTGCCATCCTTTGATTCGTTTCTGTAACAGACGCATTTTCCTGTGTGCATCTGGTGAATTTCTGTGTGCTTCGGTGGTGGGAAAACTTGAGAATTCCGTATGAGAGAGGCCGGCTCAGTAGGATGTGTGTGTGTGAGGTATTTATTGCATTGTTTTGAAAGAGAAGTAGTTTATTCTGTGGACAGGTATTAGGTACAGCCAACTTGATTTTTCCCTTTGGCAAGGAAGGTAGGGCTCCCAAAACTCGGGCCTGACCCGGTAGGCTGGAAGGCACGGCCAAGTGAAGCGTCAGGACGTAAGTGTTTTTGTTGCTCTTGTCTTGGTTTTTCTGTCTTGTTAACAATCTTGGGTCTTCTGCCTAAAACTTCTGTTTCGCTTAATTATGAAGTAGACAAGCATGTTTACATTTATGTAAAATATTTTTGCTGTGTAACGTTTGGGGTGTTTTGGTTCTCTTAAAGATCACCATATTTAAATAAAAACGAAGGTCAGCAATACACTTATGTTTTGGCAGTTTTCTTTCTTTTTTTACTGCTACTAAACATAAAAAAATCTTAAAAGAACCCTTTGTCCAGAGCTGGATTAACTACTAAGCTGATTTCCTTGTGATGTGATGTCTACAAACGAGATACAAAATGAGAATCTGAAGGGTGATTACAGCAAGACACATGCAGGCTTAACTTGGAATCTGAGAACCTGCTAGGGTTGGGCCGTGTCCTTAGAAAATGCCCTAACAATACCTTGTTGCTGTTGTTACCAGTTGAGTGCCTACTTAGGACCCCCCTGTGTGCAGAACTGCACCGTAGGGCTCTCAAGACCTTGAAGACAGATCACTAGACCAGTCTTCCAAGATGCGTCTGGGTGTGTGAGAAGTGCCAAGCTGTTGGCCAATAGGCCAGTATCTAATGCTATCCCCTCAGCTCACCCGGCTCCACCCACCTGGGAGGCCATGTATGTACACCCGCTCCGCCCCTGGTGGTCCCGATGGACCTGATGTCACCCTCCCATCCTTCCATCACAGCCCCGACAGAGCAGTGTGCTCTCAGCAAGTGGAGGTACCAGCTTGAGGGACGTAATGGAAGTGCTTCTCAGCAACTGCTGACATCCCAATCGACACAAGTCACAGGGATAGACTGATGAGAGACTGCAAAGTTCCCTTGGAAAGAGGGATTCCAGAGGTCATGAGGAATTGGTCCTATCAATGTGATCAATCCACATCTCTCACAGCTAAGGATGCCTTAGAAGGCATCTCCAGGCTCTATGTAATTAAAAGAAGTACCCGTAGGAGTTGTGCATAGTACCTGCAGGGGGCGCCAAAGTCAAGATGCTGGCTGCTCTGAGTTTGGCCCAAAGAGTGAATTGATTGTGATTTTGGTGTACTGTGGCCCCCTCGGACCCAGTTGGGAGGTTTTCCAGCACTGCAGTCTTCACAGAAGTTGGCTGCCACATCTTTCTCCCAGGGAGTGGCCAACCTTTTGGTTCACGGCCAAGTGCTGGCTCTCCACACCCCCAGGACCCTGGCCCTCTTGAACAACTGTGGTTTGATTCCCGGTGACCAGTTCTTATGCAAAGTCACACAACTGCCCCAAACCTTAGTGAATTACACTTGATCTTAGCCAAAAGGCCGAGAAGCGATACCTTAGTGAATTTAAAGAACAACCATTTTATTTGATCTTACACGGCCTGTCTCAGGCATTTGGGCAGAGCTTGGGTGGCCACTTCTGTTCCTTGTGTGAGAGCATTCACGGTCATTACTCGGCTGGGAGGTGGGCTGGATTGCAAGGCCCACGCTGTCTTCACACACATGGGTGACTGTCACCCAAGTACCTCCCAGCACTTCCAGCACAGCAGTGCGGGGTAGCTGGCCTTGCATGTTGGCCAGCTTCCCCTGGAACAAGTTCTGAGATTTGTGTGACCCTCTTATGACCTAGCTGGGGAAGGCAAATAGCATCACAGCCCTTAGGGCAGCGGTTCTCCACCTTCCTCATGCTGTGACCCTTTCATACAGTTCATGTGGTGGTGACCCCCAACCATAACATTATTGTTGTTACTTCATCACTCGCTTTGCTACTGTGATGAATCGTCATGTAAATATCTGATAGGCAGGATGGATTTTCATTGTTACACATTGAACATAATGAAAGCATCGTGATAAATCACAAAAATAATGTCAGTATAGTGAAATATTTATTTCTAATGACAAGTAAATGAAATTTTGTCTTGAAGCATGGTGTAGCATGGGTAATAGTCTTCATTGCCTGATACTCAAAGGTGGGTGTATCTGCATGTGGGTGTATCTGCATGTGGAGATGGATAGAGGAGCGGTGTCTCAGTTCCCAAGACCATCAGAAATATGTGTTTTCCATTGGTCTTAGGCGACCCCTGTGAAAGGGTCATTCGACACCCACCACCCCCAAAGGGGTTGCAGCCCACAGATCTACAGCTTTTGTAGATCACAACAGTTAACAGCCCACCTAGACTTAAGAGGAGGGGACGTAGACCCTTAACCTCTTTAATAGAAGAATATTAAAAAGCCACCCACCTTTTCTCCCTGGGCCCTCTGTTATGGTTCTTGGATGAGACATTTCCCCAGACTTACAATAAATATGAGTCACCCTGTGGGTAGTGGTTACATGTTGGGCTGCTAACCACAAGGTCAGCAGTTCAAAACCACTAGCCACTCTTTAGGAGAAAGACGGGGCTTTCTACTCCAGTGAAGAGTTAACAGTCTCAGAAACTCACAGGGACCGTTCTGCCGGGCCCAATAGGCTTGCTATGAGTCAGCATCGACTCGACGGCAGTGGGTTGAACAATTCTCAGGCCTTCCCAGGGCCTACTGAGTCAAAACCTGGAGTGAGCCCTGGCATCCTTTTGACAAGCCTTTCAGGGGAGTCTGAGGACCATTGCCACAGGGCATGGAGGTCTCCCTTGGTGGGCCTCAGTGAGGATCCCTGCCCACGATGTCTTCAACGTCTCATCCCCGGCATGCATTGGAGTATGGTACTATTTTGGGGTTAGAACACCAGAGACCCAAATATATCAGGGCTGTGGGGAGGCGAGGGGGTCTTCTCATTGTCTTTGAAGAAATCAAGGGGCCAAAATAGCCCCAGGTGAAGTTCTTTTGAGATTGTAGAGTCTCGGCAGCAGAATTCCCATGTCATTTCTGTAGAGGGCGCAGTTGGTGGGGCGAGGGAACAAGCCCTTGTGATCCATTCCTATTCACAGATGTCTTAGAGAGCAGAGTAGACCTGCCTCCCTGGAGTTCCCAGGCTGCTGTCTCTCGGGAAGCAGACTGACACCTTTCCCCAGCTTCCGAGGACCAGGTGGGCAGTTAGCATCGTGCTCCTTCAAAGGAAGTAGCCAGTTGCTTTTCTGTTTACTTTTGGTCTCTGCCCTCCACCCCCATTTAATAAAGTGGTTTCTTATAGAGCAGTAGTTCCCAACCTTCCTCATGCCACGACCCTTTAATACAGTTCCTCATGTGGTGGTGATCCCCTGACCATAAAATTATTTCTGTCGCTACTTCACTGTCAGTTTGCTACTGTTATGAAATAGAGTGACCCCTGTGAAAGCGTCATTCGACCCCCAAAGGGGTTGGGACCCACAGGTTGAGAATAGCTGCTATAGCATCTGCTTCTAAAAGGCAATAACTAGGATTGGGGGCTGAAAAGAACTGAGGGTGAGCCTCAGAGGAAGCCGATTGTGGTTGGTCCTCAGGGGTGAGGACAAGGAGATGGGAAGTCTTCAGCCAGCACCGTTGGGAGACTTGCAGCTCCCTCCCAGATGGAGAGGGGGCAGACTACCCCACACTCCGGGAGCCTTTCCGCCCTTGGACGATAACTGAGTAGCTCAAGTTCCTGGAGGATCCCCTGGTGAGGCGATCCCTGAGGAGGTCCTGGATCTGTGAGTTCATGGCGACACGCGTGGCAGGACGGACCTTCATGTACAGTGGAAACTGGCTTCCTCGAAGACCAGGCTGTCCACTCCCGTCGACCGTCAGTGTTCAGAAACCCACAGAGAGCACACTCTGAGTCGGCACGGACTCAGTGGCAGTGGGAAAGGAGTTCTGGTAGCAGCATGGGCTGTGCATTGAGTTGCAAGGTCAGTGGTTTAAGCCCACCAGTTGTTCCACAGGAGAAAGACAGGGTATCTGCTCCTGTAAAGCTTTAAAGTCTCGGCAGCCCACAGGGGGTCAGTCTGTCCTGTAGGGTGGAAATGAGTCGGAATTGACTTGGTGGCAGCGAGTATTTGTCTGGGTCACCACGGGAGGGATGGGGCAGGACAGCTCCAGGAAGGCTGTCAGCAGCAGAGGCTGGCTCATTCATCTCAGCAGGGTCTGGAAGTTCCTCCGGAATTTACTCACATGCACCCCGTGTGCCCATCTGAGCCTGGTGGGAGCCCTGTGTGTCTGTCCCAAGTGGTGCTCAGAAACCTGATCTTCCTAGTCACGTCTTTAAAGGACTTGCTTTGCTTACAAATGTGTCACTCAAATAGCTTTGCAGGTGGAGAGAAAAAGAGCCCCCGGGTTCCCGAGGGTGCTTCAGGCTGTCTGAGACACTCCCAGCAGCAGGCTGCACCCAGGAAAGCATGAAAGGTAGTCCAGGACTGCCGTGGAGAGTCAGAGCTGGGCCCTGCCCTCCGAACTTCAAAGTTCTCTGCAAAGCTATTAGGAGATGGTACAGGCGGCCCGGCGATCATCGCGAGAAGAGGGCAATGCAGCAAGTCCGGTGGCTTTGGGGCGTTTTTTCGGCTATCAAATGATCAAAGCCATGCCTGCAGCATACCCGTAGTCTAGCAAGACTGCAAAGGCATTCTGGAGGGGGAAATGGTGTAAGCATCACCCACCTGTGACTCCGAGACACTGAGTGAGCATGTGCTGCTGGAGGGACAGCACCCACAGACTCGTTCCCTGAAGGGTTTCCGCCAAACTGACAACCAGATAGCTCCATGCCCAGGACATGTGGGAGAGACGATCCAGGGAGAAGCCTCGAGAGCCCGTGTGCTTGTGTTTCCCCAGAGTCCCTGCTGCCGCTGCCAAGCGTCACAGCGGCCCTTTCGCGCATCCCTGTGTGCACAGCAGAACCGCTCCACAGGGTTTTCGAGTGCTGACCTTCCAGAAGCCTGCCTTCCGGGCGCTGCTGGGTGGTGGGGTTCAGTCGCCACCTGGTTCGCTGAAGGCCGAGCACGCGAACATTTGTGTCTCCCGTGGGGCTCCTGCCTGGGGACTCCAAGTCAGTATAGCTACTCTTGCCCGACAACAGGCTCCCCGCAGGCAGTGTTGATCTGATGGGCTCGTGCAGCAGCGTCTGAGAACCGCTGCCCTTTGTCTTCAGGCTGTGGTCCAAACAGCTATCCAAGCAAACCCACGCAACCTGCCTCAGGGGAGAAGCTGCATTCTGAGGTTTCCCAAAGGGGTGATTCAGCCGGAGCCACAGATAAAAGCTAGCAGGGCCTAAGCCATCTCCAGGTGTCATGGACTTTAAGCCTCTGCTCTCTGGGTTAATTCCCCAAGTCCATTGCCACCCAGTTGGTTCCGATTCATTGTGACCCTGCAGGACAGGGTCAAACTGGCCACCTATGTTTCCAAGACTAATCTTTCTACTCCCTAAAGGGTGACAGACTCAGAAACACACCCACCGGAAAACCAAGAGGGCAGCATGGTCCCCAGCCTTTCATCTCCTCTTCAAAAGCTAAAGAGGTCAGATGACTGTTATTACACATGTTCTGGAAACGCATGACTTTAAACCCTTTCTTTTCCTGAGCCTTGCAGGACCTCCCTTGAAAAAGAACCGGAGAGAAGCCCACCCGCACACAGCATTGCAGGATTCCGGGACCAGCAGACTCACGTAGCAGACGTCTAAACATTTGAGCTCTGCAAACAAACTAACGGTGAATTAAGTAGACTCTGTCTGCCCTAGTGGCGTAGTGGTTATGCATTGGGCTGCTAACTGCAAGGTCAGCAGTTTGAAACCACCAGCTGCTCTGTGGGACCACCACAGGGCTTTCTACTCCTGTTACAGGGTTACAGTCTCAGAAAGATAGTTCTTCCTTGTCCTGTAGGGTCGCGATGAGTCGGCGTTGACTCAAGGGCAGTGAGTTTGGTTTGGATGTTCTGGTCTGCTTCCCTCACTCAGCAAGCCCACTTTCCTAAGACCTGGAAGGCCAGGCCTGGACTGGAGTTCTGATTCTTCAGCGCTCCGCAGCTGCATGGGAGGGCATGAGGAGAGTGGCTCCAGACCCTTTTCTTTTCAGCCCAGGACCACCCCGCAGAGGGCAGCGCCCTCGTGTGCACCCACACAGAAACCTAGCCTGCCCCTCCAGGCTCCCCGCGCAGCTCCATGGGCAGCTTCCAGAGGACCGCGTGGGAAAGAGACCTGCGTAGACCTTGGACACAAGCTCGGGGCTGCTGGGTAAGGATCTGAGGGCCCCGCTGGGCTGCTGCCCATGAAGTGGGTGGCACTCCATGGGAGAAAGAGGAAGTTGTCTGCTCCTGTGATGATGTACAATCTCCAAAACCCTATATTGGGTCTCTGAGTCAGAAGTGATTCAATGGCAGTTTGGTTGGTTTGGTATTGGGGTACATAGAAGGAGCTATGTCAGGCACTGGGCAGCCAACTAAAAGGTCAGTGATTTGGACACGGGCCACTCCATAAGGGAACGTTGGAGCGGGTCGTCTGTAGAGAGGTACAGCTGTGGCGACCCGCTGGAGCAGTTCTGATCTGTCCTGTAGAGCCACGAGGCGCTGGAATTGACTTGACAGCAGTGGGCTTGGTTTGGTTCGGATTGAGGTGTCTGGCACGTGGCTTAGGAGGGCAGTGGGCAAGCTCTAAGTGGACACATTCCCTTGGTCCCACAGTGCCTTGTCCTGTGGGGAAGGTCACAGCCAGAGGAAGGCAGAGCCGTGTCCTCTGAGGTCCGAGGACAGCACAGCTTGTATAGAGGGGCCTGGAAAGCAAAGGTTGCTTCCCCAGCAACTCCCAGGCACGGCACGCCCTGCATGGCCGAGAGCACTGCTCCCTAGGACTTTCAAGGGCTGATTTTTCCCTGGTAGACCTCCAGGTCTTTCTTCCTAGGTGCTTCTGGGAAGATCTGGACTGCTAATCTTTCAAGTGCTCACTCTTTCTTAACGGTTGTGTTTGTGACTCCCAGGGATTCCCACGAGTCTACACAGGGTCTCAGCACCAAGCTGGGGAACAACCAGATAAACAAGTCCAGATTCTGTTATCTTGGGCAAGAACCTCCAACCCTCAGACCTCAGCTCGCTCCCTTTTCCCTAAGGAAGAGGAACTGCTTCCACATTCTAGAACCTTCCGCCGGGCCCAGGAAGCTGACTTGCCTTCAGACCCGGGGCCCCATTCAGCAGTGCTAGGACACAGGACCCTGACCTTCAGGGAAGAGAGCACCATCATGAGGAAAGGAACCTCCTTTATTATTTTTTTAATTTCCCACCGGCACCCCTAGCAAGGTGGTGGTGGCTGTGCTGCTGGGACGTAGTATCTCCCAGATGCGCAGTCACAGGGTGCCTGCCTCTGAGGCACCCCTTTCGGGGAAGACACGGTCCACTACGGACCAAACCACTAAGGCAGGGGCCTGCACGGCCAGGTGCCCTGTCTGCCAAGCGTCCCCACGGCCTCACAAAACTTAGGCATATCCGACAAGGGCAGGTGTCCCTACAACTGGCAACAAAAGGCACGTCTGTCTGCATCACAGGTGTAGGGAGGCTTCATGGAGGAGGCATCTTTCCAAAGCCGTGCCAGCCCCCCTCAGGAGAGGGGGTGGTGACAGACAGCTCACAAGCAGAACTGTGGCCTGGTAGCTTGGGGACAGACAGATAGACACACACACGGACAAGGCTTTGCAAGTACAAGACATAACCGGAGGCCACATTCTCTCGGAGTCAGCAGGAGCAGAGGAGGTCCATGCCCTCATGACCAAAGAGGCTCTGCCCTCATTGCATATTCAGCTGGGGCAAGACAGAGAAGTCGGGCATGGGTGCCAGGAGAGGTGGGGGTCGGGGGTCAAACCCAGGCATGGGCGCTGGGGGAGGGCACCTTCTGCTATGGGTCTTCTCAATGGGAAATGGGGAGGAGGGGCTTTCACCACGGTCCAAGGGAGGTCCCGGGGTCAATTTGGTGCCCGGCGTGGTAACCCCAGGAGAAACATCCAGAACAGGAAGACCACAGCTCTGCCTTTGTGTGCAAGGCCAGCTGTCCAGGCTGAGCCCTGGCCCTCCTCCACAGGGGTGTGGTGGCCTGCTCAGTGCCTCTTCACAGTTGAGACTCTTTCTGGGGAGCCACGTGCTCATGCGCTGAGCTGGGCTGTGCGCAGGGTCCCTCCCCAGGTCTGGCTGCAGCTTGGTCAGGGGCCCAATCAGCCCCTTTAGCTCCTCAGCATCCATAGAACGTCTACTTCTATTGAAGTTCCAGGAATCGGCTCCACAGCCCCATGTTTCTATCTAAGAAGCTGAGTTGGCACCGTGAGCCGCACCAGGGAGAACCTGCCATTTCCCCTGGTCTTTGTCTGGCTTCAGGGGGAAATTCCGCATTTTCAGAGGGCAAAGAAGCCTCACACCAAGCCTCTAACAAGATGAGAACACACTAAAACAGGCCCGCAAGGCTGTGTGTGTGTGTGTGTAACAGTGCTAAGCCAAGGCCACCGCCGGCCAGGTCAGCAGCACTCAGGAAAAGAGAGGGCTTTGTAGCTGGCTCTCTGGCTGCATGGTAGTGACGGGGGGGGCATTGCCAGGTTGGGCATGTTGCTGGCTTCCCGGTACTTCGGATTAAGACAAAATGCAGTGCTCCTGGGTTCGTCCAGTCAGACCGAATTTCCAGTCCATCTTAGCAGGAAGAGTCGTCCTTGTTTCAGTTGCACGAAGGTCAGTGGAACCGGACCGGGACAGCTGGAGGTCTGACGAGGTGAACGAGCCGCTGCTGTGCCACCTGCTCCCCACGCCCCTCATGTGAAATAACGGCAGGGTGTGGAGTCGATATAGCAGTACGGGGTACACTGCAGGTCTCCGTAGGACCTGAGAGGAGGTAAAAAACACCATCAGGGAGAGTGCCTGTCCGGCTCCCAGGACGTCGGGTTCTGAAAGCCCACCTCTGATGACTTGTGGCCAACCTCTAACAGCAGCCACTGCTGCCACCTTACCAAAGGCCAGGGAATCCAGAGGGACTATTGTCATTCTCACGGTAAGGGGTTTGGGGGAGTGACATCTTGGCCTCTGGGTAGACAAGGAATGAGCCCTACGAATAACAGTTGTTATTACAAGCGCATCTATAAGAGTTGTAGCACCATCCCACAGAACTTTCTAGAAAGGCGCTAATGCTCCATCTCTGTGTTCAACATGGTGGCCATTGTCTGCACACAACTACTGGACATTTGAAATGTGGCTAATCCTGGAGATCTGGGATTTCTATTTTACTTCATTTGAATTAATTCCCTTCAATAATCGCACCATGAAATGAGTAGTCCTACGGTTACTCCACCACACATCCGTCAGTTTGTCGGGATGTGGTGGCTTACGCGTTGCTGTGGTGATGGAAGCTATGTCACCTGCATTTTAAATGCCAGCAGGGTCACTCATGGTGAACAGGTTCCAGCAGAGATTCCAGCCTCAGAAAAGAAGACGAAGACCAACAGGCAGTCCGCTTCTGAGAGATTAGCCATGGACGCCCTGGTGGATGCCAGAAGACTACCGTGAGACAGTGCTGGACGATGAGGCCTCAGATTGGACAGGAATTCCACGTACAAAGAGGGGAGAGAGCTGCCTTCTCGATGTAGAGCTGACCCTAAGGACATGGAGCAAAGCTCTCTGCACCTTCATTTGCCGATGGGGCATGGATGAAAATGAGAAGAAAGAGCCGTAGGCATCCATTACTAACTGGAATGTGCACTACCCGTGTAGATCTGGGGAAGGAAGGGTCAAAATGGAAAGGGAGTGCCGACGGATTGAGAGGCTAGGTATTAGTGAGCTGACATGAACGGGTATTGGCCATCTTGACTCAGAATCTGCCAGGAAGGACAGACTCAAGAGGGACAGCATCCCAGTCATCATCACAAAGAACATCTCAGGATTGACCTTGCAGTACAATCCTGTCTGTAGTAGGAGAGGATCTGTACCCCTATAAGGAATTCAAATCGACACACCAACCACTAAAGTTATGACGAAATTAAAGCATTCTACCAACTTTTTCAGTCCAAAATCAATCAAGCATGCAATTAAGATGCATTGATAATTACTGGTGGTTGGAATGTAAAAAGTGGAAACAAAGAGGAAGGGATGGTAGTTGGGAAATATGTCCTCTGGTGACAGAAGCAAAGCTGGAGGCCATGTGACAACACTTTGCCAGACCAAAGACTTCTTCATTGCAAAGACCTTTTTTCAACAGCAGACTACACATGGACTCCTCCAGGTGGAACACAGTAATCAAGTGGAGCACATCTGTGGGAAGAGATGGTGGAGAAGCTCAATATCAGCCGCCCAAACGAGGCCAGAGCTTGACTGGAACAGACCATCAATTGCTCGTGTGTGAGTTCAGGATGAAGCTGAAGAAAACTAAGTTCATGAAAGCCCAAATAGGACCTACTCTGAGTCTATCCCACCTGATTTTAAGAACATCTCAAGAACAGATTTGACGCATGGAACGCTAATGACAGGGACCTGATGAGCTGTGGGAGGACATCATGAAGAAAGCAAACGGTCATTAAAAAGACAAGAAAGAAAGAAAAGATCAAAGTGGATGCTGGAAGAGACTGCAGTTTGCTCTTGAACATAGACTAGCTAAAGCAACCCGAAGAAATGATGAAGTCCAAGAACTCAAAGGAGCGTGTAAAGGAGCGTGTCAAAGGACAGCTCCAGAAGACAAAGAAGTATCACGATAGAATGTGGAAAGACCTGGAGTTAGAAAACCAAAGAGGAAGCGCATGCTCAGCATGTCTCAAACTGAGGGGAAAAATTCAAGATTCAATTTGTAATATTGAAGAATTCTATGAGCAAAATATTGAATGACCCAGGAAGCACTCCCTCCCTCCCTCATTCACTCAATCACCTATGCCAAGACATTTGGAAGACAAGTTACCTAGTTAACTGACTGGAATGATCCATCGAACAAGATCAAAGGACATTGCATTGAGCAGATCATGGGCTAATTGGTCTAACGTGTTAATGTGCCGAAGAGCAAAGATATCCCTTTGAGGCTAAGATGTGCCTGACCCAAGCGATGGCATGTTCAGTGGTCTCATGCCTGTGAGAGCTGGACAGTGGTGAAGGAAGACCAAGGAAGAATCGATGTATTTGAATTGTGGTGTTGGGGAAAATATTGACAATACTGTGGACTACCAGAACAAACAAATCTACCTTTGAAGACGTACAGCCAGAATACTCCTTAGAAGGGAGATGGGGAAACGTGTTATTGTAGTTGTTGTTCTGACCCATAGTGACCCATGCACAACAGAAGGAAACTGCACGGCCCTGCACCATCTTTACAATGGTTCCTATGCCTGAGCTCCTTGTTGCACCCATTGTGTCCATCCACCTCCTTGAGGACCTTCCTCCTTTTCACTGCTCCTCCACTTCACCGAGCATAATATCCTTCTCCGGGGACTGGTGTCTCCTGACAATATGTCTGAAATATGTAAGACGAAGTTTTGCCATCCTTGCCTCCAAGGGGCTCTCTGGCCTCCCTTCTTCGAGGACAGATTGAGGTGTCCTTTGAGCAGTCCCTGGTCCTGTCAGTATTCTTCTCCATCACCACCGTTCACATGCATCGATTCTTCCTTCTTCAGTGTCCAACTTGCACTTGCGTATGAGGCAATGGAAAATACCATGGCTTGGGCGAGATGCACCTTAGTCCTTGAAGTAGCATCCTTGCTTTCCAACACTCTAAAGAGGTCTTGTGCAGCAGATTTATCTAAAGCAACATGTCTTTTGATCTCCTGACTGCTGCTTCTATGACTCTTGATTGCAGATCCAAGCAAGACAAAATCCTTAACAACTTCAATCTTTTCTCCATTTATCCTGTTACCTATTGGTCCAGTTGTGAGAATTTAAGTCTTTTAAAAATTAAGTTGTAATCCAGACTGAAGGCTGCAATCCTTGATCACCAGAAAGTACTTCAAGTCCTCCTCACTTTCAGGAAGCAAGGTTGTGGCATCTGCACATCACAGGTTGTTAATAAGCCTTCCTCCAATCCTGATGCTGCCCTCTTCTTCAATAAGCCAGCTTCTCTAATGGTTTTCCCAGCAGACAGATTGAACAAGTGTGGTGAGAGGATACAACCTCGGTGCACACCTTTCCTGATTTTAAACAATGCAGTATTCCCTTGTTTTGTTCACACAACCTCCTGTTCGACAATAATAGTTTCCTCATGAGAACAATCAAGTGTTCTGGAATTCCCATTCTTCTTAAGATTTCCATAGTGTATTCCATAGCCAGGCAACTGCCTTGGCACAGTCAATAAAATTACAAGTAAACATCTTTCTGGTATTCTCTGTTTTGAGCCAAGATCCATGTGACATCAGCAGAGAAATCCCTTGTTCCACGTCCTCTTCTGAGTCCGACCTAACTTCTGTGCCCTGTCAATGTACTGCTGCAGCCATTTCGTAAATGATCTTAAGCAAAATCACACTTTCATGTGATACTAATGATACTGTTCTATAGTTTGAGCATCCTGTTAGGTCACCTTTCTTTGGAATGGGTACAAATACGGATATCTTCCAGTCAGTTGGCCAAGTAGCTGTCTTCCAAATTTCCTGGCATAGCAGAGTGAGTGCTTCCATTGCTTCATCAGCTTGCTGAAACCTTTCCATTGGTATTCCATCGCTTCCTGAAGCCTTGTTTTTGGCTAATGCGCTCAGTGCAGCTTGAATTTCTTCCTTTAGCGCCATTAGATCTTGCTCATATGCTACCTCCTGAAATTGTGGACTCTCGACTAGTTCTTTTTGGAACAGTGACTCTGTGTATTCTTTTCATCTTAAGGCTTCCTGCATCATTCAGTATTTTGCCCATAGAATCTTTCAAGATTGCAACTCGAGGTTTGATTTTTTTTTTTAAGTCCTTTTGGTTCCAGATATGCTAGGCATGTTATTCCCAATTCTAGGTCTTTGCATGCTTCATTATAATAT